TTGTACAAGCCCCCAATAAAATGATTTTTAAAAAACCCAACAATTACAAATTAAAAAAAAAAATAGGTGTGTGTCTGCCATGCCTGTTGTGTGCTGGGCCTGTGTGTACACATGCTCTCAGGAAGGGTCAGTGAAAACTGGCAACACTGATGCTCTGCAGGGAAGAGACCTGGGGTGGGGTGGGGGGAGTTAGGCCAACAGACAGAAAGGTACCCCGGCGGTCTGCAAACCAGGCACACCCAGCAGCCAGAGAGCTGCCTCGGAAGGAGGGGATGTGCAGGAGAGGGGAGGGAGTGACTGGCTGATTAAATTAAGCACAGCGAGGGGGTACACAGCTGGATAAGAGGAAGGAAAAAAAAAATCACTGCATTGTATGCTTAGAAAGGGTGAGTTTTTTAAAAAGGGGGGGTGAGTTTTCTGGCCTGTGAATATGTTCGTTACAAATACAAATTTTAAAAAATTAAGTAACCATTGAATAGAGTGACTCATGACACCCATTTAAAAGAAGAAACCTTCCACCCAACCAGTTCTGAAGAAAACACCCACATTTTAATGGGGCACCTAACATTTTTTAAAGCTACCCTTCTGTAATACAGGGCCCCTGGCCACAGAGCCCAGGGACTCAAAACCTTAGGTCTGGGGTGCAGCCTGGGAATAGGCATTTTATTAAGATTTCCAGGAGATGGGAGGCTGACGGGAAGGAAGGAAGGAAGGAAGGAAGGAAGGAAGGAAGGAAGGAAGGAAGGAAGGAAGGAAGGAAAAGTTCTTTGTAGTAAAAATAGATACAGCAAAACATACCTACCCCACAGTTTTCACTCGAATCACCGAGAGACATTGATTGTGGGGGCTGGGACCATCCTCACCCTCCTTTTCTGAGCTGCCCCCAAGGCCCTATCTAGTCTTTTGGTCGCTGCTGTCAATTCCGATCTCACATAGCTCGTTCTTAAGGAGACACGATGCTCACGGCAGACATCTTTTACTATTAAGCTAAACTGTTGCTTGGTGTTAAGAAGACTTTGGGGGGCTATTTTTGGTTTAGGGTTTAAAGAGGATCCCAGGGCAATAGTTTTGTGGAGTAAATCCAGCCGCCAGGTCTCTAGAAACTGTCACCCTGCAGGGAAGGAGGGGTGAGGCCCGGGCCAGGAGGCATGGTGGCAAGGCCAGCTCCCCGAAGCATCCTCTCTGGCCTGCCTTGCAACCCGCGGGGACCCCATCTCCACTGCAACACCCTGCCAGGTGGGGCTGCCAGCCCAGGATCCCGTTAATCAGGGGGTGACCGCTGGCCTATGCCCCCCCACCCCCACCCCCACCCTCGCCTGTCGCGCAGGTTCCGCATTCTCCTTGATCACATTCCATTTGGCACTTCCCTGAAGCCTGCTTCGTGCTGTTCTATAATTATCTTCCCCCGAAGACGACGAAGAGATTATAAATTCCTTGAGAGCTGGGACCCACACCTTCGCGGGCGCACTCCCTCGGCGAGGACGTGGGGGACAGGCCCAGGGGGCTCGGGGTCTGATGCTGGGAGTGGGAAGGCCGCCCCAGCAGGAGGGCTCCTTCTAGGTTGTGCCTGGCGCTGACCCGGCATCTTTGGGGGGGTGAGGGTCAAAGGCGTGAGCACCCGCGAGGTTGAAAACCCGGGGAAGGATGTGGGGGTCCCCCAAGACCAAGCGCAGCGGCCGGAGCTCCCTCCAGTGGCTGCGGTCGGGATGGCGTCAGCCCTCTGAGAATGCCCCGGAACCCCGCCCCTCGCAGAAGCCAGGCTTCGCTGTAGGACCCTCACTGCAGGGTGCAGGGTCCAGCCCCCAGGGTGCGA